TGTCTTCATAAGAAAATATAATGTAACAGCATGTACCGAAGAGAGACAGGTAGAAAGCCATGGTAAGGTTACGCATGGCAAGAAAACGGGATGTCGACAAAGATAAAAAAAACCGGGATGGCCGACAAAGAGGATACGACACAATGCTTTCCAATCTCGAACATGCATTTTATTCTCGACATTCATGTCTGAGAAATAATACTCTAGATCTTTGAAAGTCTGCCTGCTCGCTCTGGCAGAATAAAACCGAGGAATCAGATCCTTTGACATTAGACGATATACGCTGGATTGATGATTCGGGTCCCACGTCGGGCAGGCAGAACAGTGAAATCATACAAATTGAATTGTTTCAAACGAGCAGTCGGTCTTGGGCTTTTTCTGAAGCAGGCCAGAGCCACTGCACAAGTGTAGCTGTGGTGACTGCCCCCGTGTTGTCTAGGGGCACGCACGTACCACGAATGCCTATGCGGTGGGGACGTGGAGCTATTCTGATGTTTCTGGTATCATGAAAGTCGGAAGAAACTGCTATGTGGTTTGCAACAAGCCTAATTACAGTGTCATGTAGACTTCACTGCAGGTCATGGAACCATAGCACTGACAAAATCCTAAAAGCTGCTTTTACTGGGGCTTGTGCAAAAGGAGCATGATAGCAAGACCATTAAAAGAAAGGCAGGCAGAAACCGCCGAATAAGGGCCAGGAGTAAAGGCAGGAGAAGCGAGGGATGGGCAACTGTCTCGTGATATAAAGTTATTTTTTGTCACAGAGGGTTCAACACCTATGATGTTGCTACCTCCGAATTGCAGGAAGAATTTTGTGACTCAGATAAATGGAAGAAATTGACACTTGAAAGTGATGAAGTTGAAGTTCAAATCAGCTCCTGTTCTGCTGGAAGTTTGAGTGGTCTCTATTCTGGTCGATTTACAAAAAGAATTTCATGCTGCCATGCTGCCTATAAAACGACATGGAAACAAGGATAGTGCTGACGCCGTTTTAAGACATGAAGGTAAATGATGAAAGATTCGACCCTTGATTAAATTTGCACAGTTATCTGCATACCTTGCATTGCAGTTTATGAGGAGTCCGGTCTGCAGTTGACATCGATCCATTTCCGGGTGTAGACCGCCAAGTCTCCAGCTCTCTTATCAAAGAACAACAACGTCGTCGTCGTCTTTGATAATCTCCATCTGACTTCAAGGTCGATCACCTTTGCCCATATTCACAAGCTCGTGTTCTGGTCATCCGGTGATTCGAGCGTTCTGAAGCTCAACTGCCACTACCACCCCTATTCCTAGAAACTGTAACAGCTATGTCAGCGTTGTATTTAGTTGAGCCCTTGAAGTGATGAGATCAAGTCCAGCACACAGCCGTTCATATGCAGAGGCGTTTGAATTTGAGCCAACACCAATTCTCATAATGCCTCGAGATGCAAATTTAGCACTTTGAAATGATTGAAGGCATGATGGAATTTCAGTCCAGTGCTACCCGAGCTCAGAGCAATAGGAGACTCGACGGGTAGATGTGGAAGCAAAAGAAGCAATGTTGACTGACGCAGTCTTCGACTGAAATTGAAGGCGGACTGGTGGATGAAGAGATACTATCTACCTCAACCGTCGATTGCAGTGAGCTTTTGCTTGTCAATACCTTATTTGCGACATGTTACAGCCCATTACTCGACTCTCAGGTAAGAGTGTAACGCCAAGAGCAGGGTATTCTTTCACGTCCTCGATGAAAATTACTCCAGAAAAATTGGCAAGTACAAATTGACGAAAGTTGCATTTGTTAATGGTATTGGTAGAGAGATCAAGCTCGTGGGACCCAAAGGGTCAAAAGGCTGGAAAATTTTATACTAGCCAAACATCCACTGACCAGGGAAAGTGAAATTGAAAGTGAAGCTAACGTTAAGTCTGCGGAAAATTGCTTTGGCGTAATTCTGGTCGAAATAAGGTGGGATAAAGAGTGCATCTCACGTAAGAAGATGGTCGACATCTAAAAACCCTTCTGCATTTTCGGACAGAAAGGCTACTTTTAAGCCTCAGCTGTTAAAGCAAGAAAAATTTTGGGATCTGGTCAAGACTCCAGAAGCTCTGCATTCGAGAATACCTGAAAGTTCCCGACCATTTCTCCTGTTGTAGTCATCGTCCCTGCCGTTTGCGGAAAGACTATAGGATTCCCGAAGTCGCGGGACTCGTAGCTCTCTAGCAGCTCCTCTTTCTAGTCAGTTTGTTTAGTTCATGGTCCAGAAAATTCTCAAATATATTTCTTTGCTTGAATGTCGACTCGACCCTTATCCACTTAACATGCTTCAGCAATCCCCGTCCCAAAAAATCTAAAGATCGAGCCATTCATGTACGTACGTTGACATTCCATTTCATATACACCTAATGGACGTGTCCGACCGAAGGTGACCTCGAATTCTTCAACGAAAGGCATACTCTCAAAAAAAAGTCGGACAAATACTTCACGAACACACGAGTATGCGAAACACGAATATATTCCATCCAAGTAAGAATGCAACTTCGGTACTCCTCCCAATTCGATCGGGCAGGAAACGTACAATAATGACATGACCGAGCCGCTGAAGATCGTGCCTTAATAGCAGAGTTTTCTTATCATACTACGATCTTGCCCGACTACACCTGTCTCTGCAATGACATGCGAGGGCCCTCTGCAGCTATGCTGGTGTACTGTGCGTGTCTGAGGGGCAACCAGCAGTACGTGTAGTTGTCGATCTGAGCCTTGGTGCCACTGTTGGAGGCTAGGCCTTCATTCCTTCACACAGCACACGTGAAAAATTCAGAAACGTGCCTCCCTGTCTCGGAACGTGCAAGTCGGCATAGCCGCCTAAACATTGAGCAAGGGGCGGCAGAAACCGAAAGTTTATGCTCGAGTCTCGGAAATGCGGATCGCCTGACGAAGAGGGAGAAGTAAGCCGTGACAGGACCGAGAAGCCTCCGATCATGTTCTACGTATTTTGTTCATTACGTCTGGGATTGCAGAAGAACCGCTGTCTTCCTCCAATCTCTTCCTCGGGTCAGAGGAAGGAATATAATCCCATGAACCTGATCCAGACAGCTTTGAACTAGTTTCATGGCTCTTTGTTTTTTTCAGAACATAACAAAAAGGTTCCATCATGGTTCCCGAGACGCGTCCGTCTGATATTTCGAAACCCTATGATTGGCATATGCCACAGCTAATAATTATTCCGAGAGTTTTGTTTTCATTTGCACGTAAGGGTTAGGCCCTAAAATGACAAATTTGTGATCGGGTCTGCGTACAATATCTCTACATCGGGGAAGGAAACTTTCGCTCGAGTAGGAGAATCTGAATATCAATGTCCCAATCCACAACCCTCATTGGCCTTGATAACTGCACGTACAATAATCTCGCAACTCGAGGAGTGACGTGACGGTACAGCCTTCATAGCTTCTCATGAACTTCACTTCCTTTACCTTACTTCAGAGAGCTGGAAATGGAGGAGGTGGAGGAGGATTTCCTTTTCGCACCTCCAGCGAAAGAATCGGACACGATCAGAAGAGAAGAATGAGCCCAGATCACTGTCACTGGTTAAAGGTGAAAACTTCAGGAGGGTTTGTAGCTTTGCAAATCGAAGGTCTTGAGGTGCTCTACTTTGCCCGCAGCTTCAGCAGTACATCCTGCGGTTAGCATCTGAGAATAAGCGCTAGAAACATACAGATTCAACCATTGGCTCATTCATCTAGATCTTCAACGTCACACTGGTCCACTGTTGGCCTTTGGAGCAGGTTCTTCAAACCAGTTTAAATATACGAATTTATCGTTCTCAAAAGGGAAAAACGAATCCTCCGTCAGTAGAAGATCATCTGCATATCTGCCACCACTGTCCTCATTCCGAGCACCAGCCTTACCCGCAGTATTTAAGTACGCACGTAATCCATCCTGAAGGAATTCCGGAGATAACTCTACGACTTAGCTTCTAGAGCGCTCCCTTCCTGCATGCAGCGTGTCAGCATTTGACAAGTGTAGAATCTTCACCTCAAAACTGTGCACAGGCGATTGATAAGTTGTGACTCCTACACAGATATGTACGCTCACGAGTAGATACAACCTGCGCCGATCTCGTTCCAGGTAAGCTTCAGCATGAAGGATCCGGTCTGGGGACTGCAGAGTTTTCCTTCTCAACAGAATTGACGAACCATTGCACGAATCCTTCACCGAAACTCCGACAGACTCAGAGACGGAACGTTACGGCGTGCCCTTCCCTTACAAGGAACGGGTACCGAAGGGATTGGTTTGTCCAGTCTCAGCTCAGATACTGTCAGGACGATCGGCTGCTGATGTCGGTCCAAAAAAAAAAAGCAGAACGAAGTACTGTAATCTGATTCGACGTGAATCGTTGCATGAGTGGACGAGTCGTCGCAGTTGTGGGGATGGCTCGTCGGGCGGCGGGGTTCTTGTGAATCTCTTCATAAATAACTCGACGGGAGTTGTTTAACTTAAGGATCGGCCAGAAGCGTCAGATTAAGACAAACTGTTGAGCATATTTGATTGTGAAGTGGCGAGACAAGAGGCACGGATCACTGGAAACGCTGTAGATGATTTGTCTTGCGAAGTTGATCAGCACGGCCGGATAGGAGTAGCTTAGAGAATGGTCAAGACAAGCTCGGAAACAGCTAATGAAGAGAATCGCTTCAGCATCCGATGAATATTGAACGATGAGTTGTTGTATGATCTGTACACATGATGCCCGGTCACATACTTCTCGAATTGTGCTCAGACCGGGCTCTACAGGCTGCGGGCAATTTCCCTCAAGGGGAAGCATGTCCGAGTTTCTGTAGCATGCCTTTCGGGCGCAACGGCCCGTGCATGGCTCGGATTCCTCTTGCAGCAGAAGGCTACGTCTGCGATGCTTCTGATCTGCGACGGCATAGGGCACGGTTTTCAGCTGAATACACATTCCCGAGCGCAGCACGGGGAGCGAAATCATATTCTAATGGCGCACGGAAGGGCGCCCGGTCACATGGTTTGCAATCGCCAGGCTCACGTAGGAGGCTCGGACCGAGACGACCCGGCGCCGGGTATAAAAGCAGCCCCGACGATTATACTCATGGCAAAGAGCTCCAGTACTGTCAAGTGCTGCAACAGCGGGGTTAGGCCAAACGGAGGCACAAAAGGACTAGCGTAGATGCGGTGAACGTCGGGTCCAACCTCGAGCTCTGAATGCCCTGTTCTTGGTTTCATGCAAATCGTTTGCACAGTTTGTTTGTAGCAGGCTCGGCAGAAATGGCCCGAAGCGCGAGGGGCTGCTTGCAGGCTGCTGCGATGAACCTTGTACCATGCTTCTTGATCGTGCTTTTGAGTCAGCTCGTGATCCCAGCCAGCGGGCAGAGGGCGCGCGTCGCAGCCGATATTCAAACAATGCTGAAAGTTCGAGACGAGCTTTTCGGAATTCCCGAGAACAAGATGATTCTGGCCGATTGGAGCACAGAGCCGGACCCGTGTAACTGGACTAGAGTAGAGTGTGAAGGCGTGGGCGCGTCCGCCACCGTGAGGAGGATCGATCTAAATCAGAGGAATTTGGCCGGCCCCGTTCCTCCGAGCTTCGGGCTCCTCCTCAATCTGACCCACATCAGCGCGGACGACAATCGGTTCGATAGCATCCCCGCGAATTTTTTCAAAGCGAAACAGCTGAGATTCATCTCCTTCCGCAATAACCTCATCTCCGGCAGCGTGCTCGAGAGCCTGAGCGCGTTCCAGTCCCTGCGCGTGCTGCTCTTGGGCCAGAACCTGCTCTCCGGGCGCATCGACTCGCTCTCGCGCCTCAACAAGTCCGTCGTCCAGGCCATCGACCTGGCGGGCAACGGCATGCAGGGCAATCTGAGCACGCTCGCCGGCTTCACGAAGCTCACCGTCCTGCGCCTCGGGCAGAACCGGCTGACGGGCGAGCTGGCGACCATTCGCGACATGCCCGCGCTGTACGACCTGTCGCTGGAGGACAACTCGTTCAGCGGCAGCGTCCCTCTCAGCACCCTGTCCGGCATGGTCTCCGTCAACCTGTCGCGGAACGCGCTGCAGGGACCGTTCACATTGGACGACATTTTTGTACCGGGAACCATCGCCTCGCTCGATCTGTCCGACAACAGGTTCTCGCAGGTGGCTCCCCAATTTTCCGGCTCGAGGAATTCGTCCGCGCAGTCCACCGTCGACTTCTTCTGGGCCCGGGGCGTGGACAAAATTCTGCTCGGCGGCAACGGGCTCTCGGGCTCCGTCGTCTCCTTCCCGGAGTCGGCGGCGACCTTGAACCTGTCGCACAACTCGCTGGGCGGCGACTTGCCGCAGACGGGCAAGGCCACCTTCTTCGCCGGCGTGGAGACGCTCCTTCTGAACAACAACAGCTTCACTGGCCCCATCCCGGCGGGGTTCTGGACCATGGCTAACGCCGTGACCATGGACCTGAGCCGGAACCAGCTGAACGGGACTCTGCCGGCGGGGCCCCTCTTCATGCCCAATTTGCAGACCCTCAACCTGTCGTGGAATCTGCTGTCCGGCGGCATTCCTGCGGCCATCTCCAATCTGACCAGGAACTTCCGGCTGCGCACCGTCGACCTCTCGTTCAACAACTTGAGCGGCCCTCTGCCGCCGGGCCTCCCGCAGGGCGACAACTACTCCTACTCCTTCATCGGCAACCCGGGCCTGTGCAGCGACGACGACTCATTCCGGCGAGCCAACTTGCTCGGGCGATGCTCCAAGCCCTCCAAAGGTACGCAAATTCGGACTTTTGCTCGGTGGGAGCCAATATGGTACTTCAATACATATTTCTATCCTCTGTTTAATCCTTGCTAATTTCTTCTTTTTGAACGGGATTTTATTATTTTGAAAACACGTCAAATATATGTACGGGGCCTTCCGACGGCCTGACTGCCGGATGGCCGGGTTGTTTGAGCTGACTGACTTATTGACGGCGGCGGATTGCAGCGGTCCAAGCGCTATGGGCAGGAGTGGGGAGCATGCTGGTGCTGGTGCTGGCGATTGTCGGCGTGCTGCTGGTGCTGTGGCGCAAGCAGATGGTGAAGGACAACCGGATGGACGCGGATCTGGTGAAGGCGGTGAACCACGGGCTGATCAGCACGAGGCTGATCCCGCTGCGCCAGCTGAAGACGGCGACGTCGAACTTCGCTGAGGATGCGAAGATCGGCGAGGGGGGCTTCGGGTCCGTGTACAAGGGGTTCCTGGAGGGCAAGGAGGTGGCCATCAAGAAGAGCTCGAACGCCATCCTGCAGCTGGTGGCCAGCAAGCAGATGTTCATGAACGAGGTGCAGATCATGTCCAGCGTCAACCACCGATACCTGGTGAGCCTGCTGGGCTGCTGCATGACCAACAAGAGCGCGCTGCTGGTGTTCGAGTACGTCCCGCAGGGCACGCTGGCCGAGCACCTCTACTGCCGCCGGGGCCAGGGCCTAGACTGGAACCAGCGCCTGAAGATCGCGCGCCAGACGGCCGAGGCTTTGAGCTACCTGCACTTCACCGCCAACCCGCCCATCTTCCACCGCGACGTCAAGTCGGCCAACATCCTGCTGGACGACCAGCTGAACGCCAAGGTCGCGGACTTCGGCATCTCCAAGCTCGCGCCCAACCTCGACGCCACGACGCACTACTCGTCGCTGGCCGTGCAGGGCACGCCGGGCTACATCGACCCGGAGTACTACGTCTCGTACCAGATGACCGGCAAGAGCGACGTGTACAGCTTCGGCGTGGTGCTGCTGGAGCTCATCACGTCGCGCGCGCCGCTCGACTACCGTCGCGGCGAGCGCGACAGCACGCTGGTCAAGATGGCCACGCACCTGGTGCGCACGGACGCGCTGCACCTGCTGGTGGATCCCATGCTCATGATCGTCTTCGACGACGAGGAGGAGGTGAAGAAGTCGATTCTGAGCGTGGCGGAGTTGGCCCTCCGCTGCGTCGATCGCAGCCCCGACGACCGCCCCGACATGCAGCAGGTGGCCGTCGAGATCGAGGCGCTGAGCTCCGTGCACTACAACGTTTCCAAAGCCGACGACGACGACATGGACGTAATTCCCATAGCGAACCCCGTCGCGCGCCGCCCGCAGGCCTCGTACACCAGCTCCACCACCGGCCCCGGGAGCCGGGAGTTCCAGTCGCCTTTCGAGAGGTGATCGGTCGCTTTGTACATACATTTGTTCGCTCAGGTCTAGGTTTGATTTACGTTTCGTAGTTGATTCATCGATGCAGAGATTTAGTCTATATGAAGTGTAAATTTAGGCACGCACGAGTGTGCGACTCGCTTGTTGCGCACCGCAGAGTTCCGTTTGCTGAAGTGTACCATTCTTAGAACCCGACTCGCAACTACCAACTTAATCAACCAGATTGTGCAACTCCTGCTGTGTGCTGCCCCGCGGTACCGGTGGCAAGGTCGCTGTCTGTTTCGAAGCAGTAGAACCAGACCATTCATTCCTCATTCATTTTGTGTACATAGAAAAAACTTCGTGATTCGCAATAAAGCTGACGATCACTTGACTGACCGGAAGGCTGACAGGCCGTGAATTGAGGTCAATGTGTCATGATTTGTTTCTGAATGCGCGACTGAGACTCTTTCTCCTCATGCAGTATTCCCCGATCTTTCATTGAATACTTTTCTGTGGGTAGCTCGAGTTATCGCTGTCGCCAGTTCATGGGGTAACTCTTGAAAACCTGTCATGATTGAGCAGAGTGTCCATGGAGATAAGAGGAAACCTGAATGGAGACGGTAGACTTCTGCGACATGCCTCGATCGAATGACGTTTTAATATCCGAATTTTTCATTTCCAATCTGTCTGTCTCGTCTAAGTAGAGCGTGACTCGTGCACCGCCTGAAGCTAGATATATACTTCGTCGTTTATGCCGTCTTCCCGTCCTTCTTGCTACATATTTGGCCCCCGAATATCGATATGACCGTCTCTATATCATCTTCTTATGGATTCTGGATCCATTGGGCTCAACACGACGATGAAAGATGCAAACATGTACATATGCGCAGCGCTGAAAAGTAGAAAGAGCATATCTTCAATTTCACAAAAGTAGATATGCTTGTCAGTAAACACATATAGCGCGTAATCCAAACTGTAGATTGCTTAATGCCAACGCCAGTGCAGGTAAAAGCTTCAGCATCCCAAGACTCTCAGCTGAGAGAGCTGACTAACAGACTCCTTGCGATCGCGTCTGAAGATCCTTTGTACTACCATAGGCCACATACATCCACGCTTGAAATCTGAACAACAACCATCGAATTTGGACTGTCAATCAAAGACGTGAACATACCACTTGTAAAATGTTGATTCCAAAGAAGCTGCTTTATTCGCGTCGATGAAAATGCTATCTCCAGAATTTCAATGTCGGTACCACTCCCCGAACAAAGCTGAAGGCACCAGGATTTTGATGGTTCAAAAAGTTCAGACTCGATGCAGGCACCTTCCCCTTGTGGAGCTGAGAGTGTAGCAGAACTCAAGGAAAAATAAAAGCCTCTCCCTCTTTCATGATCTTCGCATACAACTTGTTGGATATTCGATAGTCGTTGTCGAAGTTGTTGGTGACCAGGCCGGTGTATAGATCTCCTTCTACCACGTAAGAAACTCTGTGGCCAAGTTGTGGCTGTGAGGAGTGACAATGTCCGTCCGTAGAAACTCTCGCGGGATCTGCAGCTTCAGCAAGCCCAGAGAATGCAAGGTCTTCGAGCCCAGAGCAGGCAACTTGCAAGGAAACCCTTTGAAATTGGTCAAGTGGCAAAATCCGCGATGCAGAAATCCTACAGTGGATCAGGATCGGCTGCATGGACAACGCGAATAACTGGAAATTTTCGAGTTGCAGGGATCGTAACAGCACAGCTGCAGCGCTAATAAGTTGGAGCTATTTTTGGAACAAATCCATCCTCGCCATTTCCTTCATGCTTGGAAAACCTTCAGGGTACCTATCTTGGACCCCGATTTAACTTCGGTTTCATACTTCGGAGTTGTTTACTAAATATGCATTGATTTTGAAAAAACAAATGATGCTTGTTCGTAATCAAAGTATACATTTTTTTGTTCCAGTGAGGTTAAGTAAAATGTTGTTGTAAAGTGTGAAATCTAATCGGTAATTTATTAGAAAATTTAGTTCATATTTGAGAGTTTTAATGATTTGACTATGCAGTTGAACAATAATTCAACTTATGAAACATAATAATCTGAAAACAAAATTTGATAAGTAATACTGTATTCAAGTAACAGTAGTAGATTACAACAACGTATTCTCATATAGAGGTAAATATGTTATTATCTCATCTCTCATAAGCAAGTATTGTGCACATACGTGCACAATACTTGCTTGAGTATGTATAGAATACGAATAACAGGTCTCATGACAATTTTGTATAGATTTCGGAAATAAATATGAATGAATTCTAAGTTACTAACCACGAAAAAAAAAGTTCAAAAAAGTTAGTCCGCGGAGTTTTCTAAAATCTTTGGATAAATGGCAGCAAGCTGGCAAGGAATTATATGAGAGATAATGAAAGCAAAAAAAACATATAAAAAATGTGTTTGAACCATTTGTACAACTAAAAAAATTGTTTGTTTTTAGACTTCATTAATTTATATCTTATGTTTATGACGTGGTATTTTTAACAAAAGATCAATTTTATTTTGATGAATGCAAGAGAGAACAAAAGTATGTATTATGTTTGAAAAATTTGGATGTATTCCAAAATATTTGGCTATGGAATTTTACAAAGATTTGAAAATAATAATGATATCTCTTTTGTTCTTTTTTAATCTAGCAATTTGTGTTCAAACCAATTATGCAAAATCTCTTTTAGCAAAATATGAGTATCCATGTATTAGTATTTTCATGAAGTATGTGATTTAGAGATTCATTTTAGATCTCAATAACAATGATTTGTTATCTCAATTTTTGTAGTTTATAATTTCAATGATTCTCTGTTAAATTTTTTCTTCAAATCACAACACACAATTTATAATGATCACAATAAAAATTATAAATTTTTTTGCATTAAATTTTATCTAACAAAACTTATGATTCCATAATTTCTAACATGCACATCATTTTAAGATTAATTAAAATAATATTTTTGGGATGAATTATGTAACACATCCTATAGTTTTAATTATTTTTTGAAAAAAAATAACAATATGTAACATCATAATCTATCAATTTTTTTTCCCAAAAATTAAACAAAGTAACACAAAACATCAATTTAATACAGGTTATTTTTCATGCTTTGAAAAATTGTATTCCAAACAATTTCAAATTCATAATTTCATATGGATCAATTTGCAACCCGTTTTTATTCAAATAATAATTTTTTGGGTATATTTTTAAATAAATTTTTGAAATGATTGTTAGAATAAATGATATGATGATATTATGAGTCAATATAATAGATGTAAGAACATCATAATAATTTTATTTTTTTATCATTTTAGGCTAGATTTACAAGAATAAAAGTCAAAACTATAGACAAATTTAAATTTACTATGAGTCTAATGTTATTTATGAAAAGAGCTTTGCACCTTGTGTACGTGTAAATGTGTCTGTTACGGATAATCGGAGATCAAAAAAAGGTAAAGTCAAATTTACTTTTGACATATTATGATTGTTTGACATTGTGTAAAAATATTCTCTCAATTATTATGATGAAGCCAACAAAATTCACGCAAAAGTAATCAGCCTTGTTGTTCGAATTAAAAGTGTTGGATCCGACCACAATCAAGGAATATATCTCTGAATCTCTAATTACACAATCAAAATGTGAAGATAAAGATTTAAAGTAATTGAAGTAACGATGAGTGTATTTTGTTAGTCTGAGTTTTTGTTTGACCACAACCAATTGACAGTCAGACACATAGTAAAACACAAGACATGAAGATAACGTGGTTCATCCACGTGCACGATTACGTCCACGGCTGAAACACACGACATAGAATATATTGCAATAGCAAAAAGTACAATATAATCTGAAATCACTAGGATTAAGTATCTCCGGTACTTGCGACCTAGCCATATTTCCTAACTTCATTTAGCTGGTATCGAGATTACTCCTTCACAGAAGTTAACCTTAACAATTTTTTCCTTAATTCATGTTAATGGAAGTATAAACTCATTATCCTATAATATTACTTCGTGGTAAGTTTTAGAAAAAAACCTAACTTAAGATCTTCTTGTCAACAAAGTTAACTAGAAGTAGGTCGTAGCCATAATTGGATGGAGTAATAATATAAAGAGCTAATTAATAAACCTGCTGGCATAGAGGGAGCAATAGATTCCTTAACCTATATGATTAGTACTCAAAAAATTCTAGAAGAAAACATAACACAATGCCCCACTTTATACAAAAAATTAACTAGTTTTAAGCCGTAGCCATCACATAATAGAGTAATTATATTAAGAAGTATTTGAATATATTATGTTAGAAAACTCTACCCGTGCTTCACATGCAAAACCAGCATAGTAGTACAATGTCGTGTGAAACTCTTGAAAGTAATAACATTGATCAACGCATGAGTTGGATTGAGTTTACCGTCTGTCTTGATTAACTCAATCATTTTATTAGACACTTCTTGTTTGATAAAATGTTATTTAACGTCAATGTGTTTAATTCTGCTATTCATAAATAGATTAATAATCAAATGTATAGCACTCTAGCTATCACAATGAAGATAGATCACATCTTGTGTCAATACCATTTCTATGATAAGTCTGTACTTCAACCTCTAGGTTGAATCTCACTCAAGTTTATTTCAGTTGGCTTTGCAATAGCTCACCATGAATCTAGAGTACTAAGATTTTGCTTCATGCTCAAGTTCCAAACACACTATTACACATTTTTTCCATTCATCATTCAAGTTCAAACACAAATCGACATTCCAAAATATCAAAACGTCACTCTTTCATTGATGAAACAAGTTTCTAAACATGAATTCTCCAAACTTGTTCAAGATTCTCTTTCCTATCTCTTTCTATATATACTATTTGAGAATTTAAAATAAAAAAAATATTTCTTATCTAATTTATTTTTACAAAGATAAATAATTGTATGTTTGATTAGTTCCCAATGAGTGACAACATGTCATTGGCCTCCTAAACTTTTAATTTTTTTTCTAATTCTTAGGTTTAGATGGGAACATGCCATTTGAGACTTTTAAACTTATAGAAACTCCACTTGTCACAAAATCAACATTAGACTTATTCTAACCAATGAAACCCTCATTACTTAGTCAAACAAATCAAAATCGATTAAATAGTCAAAATCTTACATCCTTGAAATCTAGATTTTATAAAAAAAAATAGTTTTGTTCACTCAAAACTTCTAGAACTCCGCTTATTATTTTTCCAAGTATAAACAGTATATCAAAACTTAGTCATCACTATGTAAACTTAGTTATAACTAGCTAGATTTAGTTATACTTAAACTAATCATGATCAAAGTCTTGATTACTGCTAATACTACTTCACACATACACAAATCGGTTTTACATTTACCCTGGATCAAGATATCATTACGCCATCGGAGTGAAA